CGGGGCGAACGTTGGATACAGGCGGCCAATGGATACAGGACTGGCCAATATAAAGTCCCCTTGCCCCACCGAATCTGCTTGGAGATTACACTGGGACAACTAACTTGCAAATGAGCATTTGGGAAGAAGCGTTTTGAGGCTATCAAATACGTCAACAATCAAATAACTTGTAATGTTCGTTTGAATGCAGGCCAGCGCTCTAGAGAGGTAGAGCCCCTGTGCAAGTTGAGCGATGTCTACCTGAAGAGAGGGGAAAGGTCAAAAGATGGCGGAGATTTCACCAAGGCTGCAGCACTCAGCAACGCAGCACTGGTGAGATCTAAGAGCAAAGACAAGGAGAGCATTAGAAAAACAATCCAGGAAATAACACAATCATTTGTTAAGCACGTGCTGGGTATCGAACAAACGGTACACATTGATGGCACAGAGGAACACAAATCTATATTAATGGAATACCGCGGATATGTGGAAGACGAGATCAAAAGAATTGAGCAGCAGATAGATCCTTATAGCCTTGATGACAATGACCCGAAGATCAGGGAAGTAGAGAAGAAAAGAGTGGAAGCAATCAAAGCCTTGTTTGACACTATTGTTCAGCAGCGAAGAACATTCATAGCTGGCCTTGTAGATGAGTGTATAGAAGTGATGGGCCCTCCTCCCTGTAAGTACGCAATGATAGGACTGGGTTCACACGCCACGGGGTTGGTAACACCATACTCCGATCTGGAGTTTGCTATTTTGATAGAAAAGGAAGGAGAAAACAATGTGAAGTATTTTCACAATCTCACGAATTACCTTCACCTCAAAGTGATCAATCTTGGGGAAACCATTCTCCCTTCCATGGCCATCAAGTCTCTCAATGACTTTGAGTCAGATAACGAGCTAGGCAGCTGGTTCTACGACTCTGTAACGCCGCGTGGTTTTTCGTTCGATGGGTCCATGCCACATGCATGTAAAACCCCACTAGGCAGAGGTAAGGCATGCCTTCTTATCCGCACACCACTTGACATGGCCAAAGTTCTCGAAGACGACGTCACGCTCCACCTGAAGAAAGGCTACCACCTAGCGACCGTCCTGGGAGCTGTATCTTTGATTACCGGAGAGCAAGGCCTGGTCGATGAATACACCACTGCATGGGATCAGCTACGTGCAAAAAATGAAAGTGAAATCGCCCGGCTCCTAGCAAACACTATGCTGGAGGAAAATACCAAAACATTTCAAATGCAGAATCCGACTGACCGACTGCTGGATGTTAAGAAAGAAATCTACCGATTTGCCAGCCTTGCAGTGTCATGTTGGGCGCTATTTTACGGCATACAGCCGACCACGATCTGGGAGACTATTCAGAAGATGAACAAGAAGGGAATCATCAATGATGAGAACGCACATCACGTGATGGTGCTGGTTAGCATCTCTGCAGAGCTGAGGCTGCGTACTTACATGAACAATCGTGGTCAAGTGGAAAACGTATCAGTCTTATCGTCAATGTCAGGCAATAATGTCACTGAGGAAACAACAAAGAAAGTTTTTTACGTCTCCAATATAAGACAGCTAATGAGGTACTACTACACAGCGACACCGTTAAAATCCTTTGTTTTGCAACTTGGCAATCGTCAACCACTGAAAGAGCCCTCGTGTCTGTTCCTCAACTCCTCACTACTACAAGCAGATGTTTATAAAAGTTTGTGCGACTATAATCACCATAAGACATGCATTGAACAGGCTCTCCAACAGGAGCTATCAAAACATGATACGGGTGCAATTCATCGTAATATAGCCTGGTTACTTTACAAGATGGGAAGCGCCTTGCAAGATATCGGTGATACGATGAATGCTATCAGCCATCATGAAAAATCATTACAGATGTGGCGGAGTATCTATGGTGAGAACACTGCACATCCTGACGTCACATTGCCACTTAACAACTTGGGTATCGCCTGGAGTGCCCTTGGTGATTACAGAAAGGCCGTCAGCTATCACGAACAGTCACTACAGATGAGGCAAGCTATCTATGGTGAGGGCAACGCACATCCTGACATCGCCGTGTCACTTAACAACCTGGGTACGGTCTGGGATAACCTTGGTGATTACAGAAAGGCCATCAGCTATAACGAACAGTCACTACAGATGACGCGACTTATTTATGGTGAGGGTACTCCACATCCTGGCGTCGCCAGGATACTTAACAACTTGGGTAGCGCCTATAGTGACGTTGGTGATTACAGAAAAGCCATCAGCTATAACCAACAGGCACTAATTATGATGCGGCTTATTTATGGTGATGGTACTGCACATCCTGACATCGCCTCGCCACTTAACAACTTGGGTTTCTCCTGGGGTGCCCTGGGTGATTACAGAAAAGCCATCAGCTATAGAGAACAGGCACTACAGATGTGGCGGAGTATTTATGGTGAGGGTACTCCACATCCTGACATCGCCGGGTTACTTAACGATTTGGGTCTTGCGTGGAGCGACTTATGTGATTACAGAAAGGCAGCCAGCTACTTCGAGCAGGCACTACAGATGATGCGGAATATCTATGGTGAGGGCAACGCACATCCTCACATCGCCGCGTCACTTAACAACTTGGGTAAGGTCTGGGACCACTCGGGTGATCAAAGAAAGGCCGTCATCTATTATATACAGTCACTACAGATGCTACGGAGTATTTATGGTGAGGGCAATGCACATCCTGACATCGCCGGGTTACTTAACAACTTGGGCACCGTCTGGCGTGGCCTTGGTGATTACAGAAAAGCCGTCAGCTATCACGAACAGTCACTACAGATGAGGAAGATTATCTTTGGTGAGGGCAACGCACATCCTGACATCTCCGCGTCACTTAACAACTTAGGTAGCGTCTGGATGGAAAGTGGTGATTACAGAAAGGCCGTCAGCTACTTCGAACAGGCACTACAGATGAGGCAGGGTATCTATGGTGAGACAGCACATCCTGACATCGCCGACTCACTTCGCAACATGGGTTCCATATGGACAATGTTAGGTTCTTACGGAAAGGCCATCAGTTATCGTGAAAAGTCACTACAGATGTGGAAGAGTATCCATGGTCAGGACACTGCACATCCTGACATCGCCAAGTCGCTTAACGACTTGGGTTACACCTGGATTTTTATTGGTGATTACAGAAAGGCCATCAGCTATCACGAACAGTCACTACAGATGATGCGGAGGGTCTATGGTGAGAACTCTGTGCATGTTGACATCGCCGACTTACTTGAACACTTGGTAACTTACTGCATGTTGCTTGGTGATTCCCAAAAGGCAGCCTCTTACTATGCTGAGTTTACATGGAGGAAACAGATGATTGATAAAGACAAAAAATAGTCAGAAGAGGCATTTGTATTAGAATGTTTGTGAACTTATGTATAGTTCTTGTTGGTTTCAAAACAGCAAACAGCTACATATGTACATGTATGTTAATTGTTAATGTTTATTATGATGATGATTGGTTTATTGAACGAAACACAATCTGACCTAGCAGTCAGCAGACTGAATTAGCGTCAGACTTTACAGTACATCAATTAAATGGATAAAATCACAGTTTAAAATATGTTAACACATGATAAAATATGAAATATTTACTGTCCGTTCAAGCATTGCCATACATAGATGCATAAAATCTGTTACAATATTTAAGTATATTAGTATAAGTTTGACGTCATGTGTTCCGTTGGTTTTAAATATTGTGAGAATCAGCGCTAGCGTTGCTGTATATATTTCAATACATGACATTGAAGGGCACATAAAGGTGTACATAGTTTAATAATTGTAGTTTAGGTAAAGTAGAAGACGAGGTACATTTTATTGTGGATTGTTCCATGTATGACAGCGAAAGAAACATTCTTTTCGATTTTGTGTCAAGCAAATACTCCCAACTTAAGTATTTGAATAGTATAGAGAAATTTATATTCCTTGTAGTCTTTAACAAACCAGCTCTAACTACTCGTACAGCCAACTACATTTATAAGATTACCAGAATGCGAGAGGAAGTTGAACGTACTTGTGTACTATAGCCGTTTTATTATCAACATTGATGATGTACTTTGTCAATATGTGACCTGTCTTTAGCCCAGTGGGGCAAAATGTACAATAAAGGTCTTCATTCATAAAAAAAAATAATAATAATACTGACTCCATAGTGATATTCGTCCCCAAGCAACGAAATTGTATTTGAAACTGAACTGATTCCAAGACCTCATATCTCCACGAAATGCTAGTGTTTAGAGCAAAGCAACACCACTTGTTCCTGAAATGAAAAGGTTACTCAGCCACTAAAATCACTATCATTAGACATTTGGTCCTCATCTTTTTTTTTCATCACATCCTCAGTTGCTGGTAATGTTGATAACGATATAAACTAGACTTCTGGAATATTTCCATCATATTTCCATATTTCTTCAGCTTACCCTGGTATTCTGTGATCTTTCATAACGGTCAAATTTGATAATCAAACTTCAAAAAGCCTATTGTTAATCTTTCCTAATCTCTCACTAACCAACCAACCAACCAACCAACCAACCAACCAACCAACCAACCAACCACTCACTCACTCACTCACTCACTCAAACATCCAACTACCCAACCAATCACTCACTCACTCACTCACTCACTCAAACATCCAACCACCCAACCACCCGACCAAAAAACCAACCACTCACTCAAACACCCAACCACCCAACCACCCAACCACTCACTCAAACATCCAACCAACCAACCAACCAACCAACCAACCAACCAACCAACCAACCAACCAACCAACCAACCAACCAACCAACCAACCAACCACTCACTCACTCACTCACTCACTCACTCTCACTCACTCACTCACTCACTCACTCACTCAAACATCCAACCACCTAACCAACCAACCAAACAACCAACCACTCACTCACTCACTCACTCACTCACTCACTCACTCACTCACTCACTCACTGAATTTACCTACCATATAGTAAACATCTGTCAAAGACAGTGACAATGACAAAGACAAGGTTGTAACTTGGGAAGACTTTTTTTCATATTGTTTGTCAATGAATTATTCTTCAGATATGTATGTGGTTCAATCCAAATTACAAATCGATGTATATCTCCGTTATTTTTCATAGATGTGTACAGTCTATGCTGAATTACAATTACCAAGTACAGTATTTGTCAAACAACAGTTATATGACTTCACTGTGGTTTCTTATAATTATTAGCTGTAAGTCGTACTGTACTGTAAACAGTTACTATTACTGTACATTGTATATCGTATATATATGTACATACAAATGAGTCTATATACATATTAAGTCATATTATTTGTCTTCAGATGTGTACAGTCTATGCTGAATTAAAATTACCAAGTACAGTATTTGTCAAACAACAGTATGTATGACTTCACTATTTATGACTGCACGTTCTTCAATATAAATATTAGCTGTAAGTCTCACTATACTGTAAGTGATGTAATATTACAAAAATATCATATATATAGTAGTATTACATGTTTATATGTGTACATAAATGGGTCTGCTTTAATTACTGGGTATATATGAGCCACGCTGATGCTTCAGATGTGTACGGACAATGTGAAAGACAAGTTACAATGCAACAACAGCATTTATGAAAAAAGCAGTAATGTAAAATTACATTATATGATTGTATACAAGATGAATATGTAACATTACATGTAAATAATTATGTACAATACATATTTGACTACTGTACATTGCACTGTGTAATTAATGCTGGCTATACAAGCCATTATGATAATAGAATATGTCACATAATTTTCAGCCTCCTCCCTTGTATGATTGCGTATACAAGATAAATATGTACATGTACAATACATATTTGACTACTGTACATAGAACTGTGTAATTGCTGGCTATACAAGCCATTATATAATGATACAGAATGATAGCCTGCTCTGTACAGACCATGACATTAATCACACAATTATAGTATTGTAAAAAAATTAAAGAAAATTAAACTGGACAGTTAGTACATGTGCCATCATTCTAAGCAAGAGAAAATGAGTGACTGTGGAAAAATATTTCAACATGTTCAAAGAAATTTTAGCCATCCTCCCTTCATCTATTAACCTGCTACACCAGGAAATATGACATGTGCCAAGAATATACTAATCTAAGAAAATTAAACTGGACATTAGTACATGTACCATCATCTAAGCAAGACGAATGAGCGAGTGAGTGTAAGAATTCATTTTAAGATTGTTTTAAGAAATTTTAACCATGGTCATCCCCCCAAAAAACAGGAAGCCGAAAAATTTGGGGTGGGGAAATTGTGGTCATGTTTGAAGAAATTTTAAATATGGTCATCCCCCCAAAAAATGTGGACATGTTTAAAGAAATTTTAACCATGGTCATCCCCCCAAAAATAGGAAGCCGAAAAAGTTGGGGTTGGGAAATTAAGGACAATTGTTTAAAGATATTTCAACCCCCAAAAAAAGGAAAAATTCAGGGTGGGGAAGGGGGTCCAGTAGGTGTTTGACAAACATGATTCAAAGAAAAATTGGCCAAACAAGGGAGAAAAAAAATTGGGAGAAGAAAATAATTAAGCAAAAAAAGACAAGAAGTAACCAGTCCAGGAACACCATGCTGTCAGATGTTAGTGACGTAGGAGACCCCAGCCCAAAAGCAGCCGGACTGCGGCCCTGTGCAATGCAGTCCGACTGCTGGGGCCTCCTCAGACATGGGTCTTGGACTGGGGAAGGGAAGGAGGAAAGAGAAGAAAAAAGAGTTTGAGACAAAACTGAGGCAAAATTAAAACCGATTTGAAACTGCTGAGACAAATAAAAGGTTAGGACAAACATGATTAAAGAAAACTGGTCAAAAATGAGAAGAAATAAATTGAAAAGAAAAGTAACCAATCCAGGAACACCATGCTGTCAGATGTTGTTGACCAGGAGACCCCAGCCCAAAAGCAGCCGGACTGCGGCCCTGTGCAATGCAGTCCGACTGCTGGGGCTCCTGACATGGGTCTGGACTGGAAGGGAAGGAGGAAAGAGAAGAAAAAAGAAAGTTTGAGACAAAACTGAGACAAAAACCGATTTGAAACTGCTGAGACAAATAAGAGCTTAGGAAAAACATTATTAAAGAAAACAATTGGTCAAAAATGAGAAAAGGAAAGATGGCAATCCAGGAACACCATGCTGTCAGATGTTAGTGACGTAGGAGACCCCAGCCCAAAAGCAGCCGGACTGCGGCCCTGTGCAATGCAGTCCGACTGCTGGGGCCTCCTGTGGCATGGGTCCTGGACTGGGGAAGGGAAGGAGGAAAGAGAAGAAAGAAGAGTTTGAGACAAAACTGAGGCAAATTTAAAACCGATTTGAAACTGCTGAGACAAATAAAAGGTTAGGACAAACATGATTAAAGAAAACTGGTCAAAAATGAGAAGAAATAAATTGAAAAGAAAAGTTGTCAGTCCAGGAACACCATGCTGTCAGATGTTAGTGACGTAGGAGACCCCTGCCCAAAAGCAGCCGGACTGCGGCCCTGTGCAATGCAGTCCGACTGCTGGGGCTTCCTGTGGCATGGGTCCTGGACTGGAAGGAAGCTTAAGGGAAGGAAAGGTTAGAACAAACTAAGATAAGTTAAAGAAAAACAAATAATATAACATAAAAAAATCTGTAGCTTTAAACAAACACCAAACTGACCCCCTAAAAGAAAAATTAATAGAAATAAAGGGTTTGTCCAGTCAATAATGTTAGTTATTTAAATTTCTAGTGGAATTTGTAGTTGAGGCTTGTTTCATAAATTTAAGTTATAAGAAGTCCCCCCGGTACCCTGGCCAGGAACACCATGCGATGTTAGAAGAGACCCCGCCAGCAGAGCAGACCGGACTATTGCTGGCTGTAGTCCGGCTGCTGGGGTCTCAGGGCATGGGTTCTGGACAGGGGGGAGGGACATCAACAACAAAAAAATGTATAGTACTGTTTTAAACAAAACCCCCCAAAAAGGAAATACAAATTTAATAAAGACTTTTAGTCTTGTATAGTTGTTCAGTCAAAAATTTGGGTAAGTCCAATTTTTTGGGATTGAAAATTCAGTTCAAACATGTACAAAGCAAATTGGCTCCCAAAAATGGGTCCTAGAGGGGAGAAGAGAGGGGAGGGAAATTTATACTTTAGGATTTTAAACATTACGACCAAATTCCCCCCTACCCCAAATAGAATACAAATGAAGACTTTCCGTCTTGTACTAGTTGTAGAGTCGAACTTGAACAGTAAAAAATTTGGGTCTAATTTCTTGTGCTGGAAATTGCAGTTAAACTTTGAAGATGCTTGACAAATTTAGGAACACCAATATTGCCGTTAGATGTTACTTAGGGAGACCCGGTACCGGCAAAGCAGACCGGACTACTGCCGGTAGCAGTCCGGTCTGCTGGGGTCTCCTGGCATGGGCCTGGACGGGGGATTGGGGGTTGAAGAAGTTATCAGACAAATTTTTATACTGACTAGTAAATCAAATATTTGAATGGCACATGTTCTCTGTCCCATCATTGAAACAAAAAATGTGATTATAACAGTCAGGTAAGGTAACCGTAATAAATACTGTAACAATATTACTGACAGAGATGTTTACAAAATGATATGTGTATCAAACACTGATTTGTGTAAAGATTCAAAATCTAGATGTAGCACATTAACCAGGTTCAACATTCAGGTAAACAGCATACTGGAAACTGTTACAGTCTTGCATAATGAAACTATTAACTGAAATTTTACAGCCATCATTGTATGTTAAAAAATAATAAAACATGATCTGAAATGAGTTACAATATATCAGACTGAATATTTCCTAACTTTGACATAATTTGTTTATCGCTGTTGGTATGAATACTGATCACAAAGTACATTTCTCCTTCAAAGACTTTTAGCTCTGATATTGATATGATATTACGGTGATTTTTTTTTTGTTGTTTTTGTCCTCCCAAGTCATTTTTCTTCTGTTAAACCCAGACGTTCAAACCTCGAATGCTCTGATGTAGCCCTCGGTAAACCCAAGCCAGTAGGCTTCGACGTGGTGGACGGTCTGCGGCTCTGTGCACTTCTTCAGCGGCGGAGGTGGTGGTGGTGGAGTTTCCAACCGCGGCGCCTTCTGCTTCTTCTTGTCTTCAAGATACTAAAAAAACAGTGTACAACAGAGAACAGTCTCAGTTCTGGATCTGGTCTCGCACTTTTTTCCCAAAGGATGCAGGCAATTGTATCATAATATAATGCACTGAGTTGCTGCCTAATCTGTCAACTTCCTGTATGAGTTCTTGTCATGAATATAAGAATAAAACGTAACTCACCATCTGAAGAGCTTTAGCACAAATGGCCGTCCCCGTCGTCCACATTGCAGCTTCCATTGCCGTCTTCTTGAAGCCTGGAAAGAAAGTACAAATTATACTTGCCTGAAACCACAGTGTGGTTCAGTGGAAGTGCAGCGCACATCAAAACCTTCTGTAAGTTTCTTCTATAAGTATCAGGATTTGGGTTCAATGTTCAGGTGCATGTAAGAAGGTATCTGAAAACCATGTAATTCAAACTTCAAGCACCTGAAAATTAGAGCCTCGACTAGATAGACTAAGTAATGTTTCGACTTTCGACATGGGATCAAAGCTCTGGAAAAAGTTATAAACACATGTTGCAGAATTTTCTAGAATTTTAGCACTACTCCCTATGCTTATTAGTGCTCCATACTGGCCACAGAAAACAAACAAACCCTAGAAAAACAGAAGAAGGAGAGGCCGTCTTACCGGGGGTGAGGATAGAGCCGACGTTGCTGAACGCCTGAGCAGGCGGGAGTGATCCCATCAGGCCCCTAAGGACCGACCTGCCCAGGCCGAGCATAAGGGAGATCCTAGGGAAGAAAGAAACAGACTTCATTCAAAACACGAATAAACAGTTGTAACAGTGTGGATGAAACAGCCATCTTACTATGACTACATCTGATTATTCAATAATTCCCTGACATTAGCAGTAGTTAAGCCGCTAAGATTATGGGGGAAGTTCTAGAGTAGAGTAGAGTTTGATATTGATATTAAATGATAAAAGTAAAAATTTACGAAGCTGCCCCCCTCCCCACCACCGCTGCAAAGCTAGCGAGTCAATCGGGTTGTCTGCCTGTGTAGATGTGTTGACTGTGCAGTTAGTTTACTTACTGACATCCTTAGCGTTTCTATACTTTGTGTAAAACTTAATTCTCTGTCAATAAACAAGAAAGTGGTTCTTTATGAATTGTGAGCTACAGAAAAGTTCTAAACCAACTGTTCGGTGTGAAAAAATCCTGGCCCTTCCCCCCAAACCACCCTTGGATTTAGTTGGAAAAGAAAACTGCAGAGTCTCGGAATTTTCACCAAAACGTTCGCTAAAACTCTGGTAGTTACTACTAGAAATGCCTGTGAATGTTTTAGGAACATCGTAATATCTGTAAAACTTACAGAAGCGCTGTTTTTTCAGTCACAGACACAAGAAGGTTTGTCGGAGCTCTGTAGTACGGTCCAACTTCCTTGGCGGTCGGAGTGCAAATGGTGAACAACTCTCCTGATTCGTTGCTAAGTGCGCTGCGCGGAGTCCACTTATTTTCGGGCGGGGGGAGACATGATACTTTAGAAATTATTTTCACCACGTACGGATTGTTTCGACGTTTCAAAATCACAATTAGTGTTATACATCTCATATTAAACTATATTTAATAGTTTAGTTTTGTACTATGAATACGTTTTTGTCCAAATGTTCTAGTTGTGAAGATATCTAAGTTACCTACGTAAACGAGTGGAACGTTCTAAAATTTGCATATCCAGGGATTCCCTAGCAACAGCGCGGCGACAACCGCGAAATGTAAACACAAGCCGAAGTGTGGGAGGGGGGCGAAAATTTATGATATATTTTTAAGAATTTCACGTCACTTTCACCACAAATAAAGTCAAGAAAACGGAATGAAATAAAAGATAGACCGAAAAGATGAACGCTTTGCTATATGAAATAAAGAGAAACAACGTCTTTATTCACGTCAAGCGATGATAATACAAGACAAATCAGTGTATCTTACTCATGTGCTGCGTTTTTCTCCTTTCAGTTGTGCTTTATTTTTCTTTAGTGGTGCCGGTGTGTCTTCGATTACACCTTGTTTTATTATCCCATCTGTTGTCCAACATCTCTACTACATAACCTCATGTCTTGACACCTTGCCTATTACTAACAAACTTGTTAAGTCGGTTTGTGGCTCTTCGTTTAAGTTCATACACGAAAACGCCATTGGTGTTACTTAGCAATGATTCTACTAAAACTAATAAATAAGATATTTGTTGAACCTGTACATCATCATGTATTGTCTAGATAAATCACCCGGGTTGTTTTGACTAGCTAAACGCCGTAATGTTATTCAAACGCCGCGTTTTGGCGGCCTTTCGCTCTCTTTTGCCAGTGCTGGCACTCTTTACAGTGCTACTCAGTTGCTCAAAGCTTTTCCAGTTTTAGGGGCTGATTTACTAGGAGCTGATTTTATCAAGATCGACTGATGTGTAACGCTACTAGATATTATAATTAATAACCAGCTCAAATACGATCTGCTGTAGAGCCGACTTTGTAAAACTGAGAAAAGGGCAGTTGCTTTTCATCCATGCATGATCTGTGGAGACCTCTGGTGAGCAAGGGAAGAATTGCAGCAATACCATGAAATGCTGATATCACACAATTGTCAGCGTGAAGTTTAAGACACAGGCTCTCGTTTCAGGCTAAATTCTCCATGGCAATCACTCGTGATCTTCATTGGAATCGGATACAGATTCATGTACAGATACAGATTCATGTACAGGTAACTGTTACAGATATAACTTGTGTTACAGATTTTCCGAGTAGGATGACCGTGTCAGTCCCTACACCTGAGTGAGGGTTACAGTTGACACGGTGGCCTTCGCGTGGATTTGTTTAAGGTGGATAACAGGTTGCGAATCTGAGACCCACACACTTGGGCATCTGTCTTCCCCAGCGGTACCATATTGAGGGAAGACGTGCTGGTTCCGGTTGGGATACTTGCGGGCTAACTTATTATGTAGGGGAAAACTGTACACTTGGCTGCAGGTAAATTCCCCTGCAAGGTGGAAAAAAAAAACATGGCGAACGATATGGATTTTGTTTATTGATTGATTGGTATGTTTGGTATTTATCACATATATCATATACAGGTAACTACTGTAGTGTGCTGAGTGATTGAGTGAATGAGTGAGAGAGCGTGAGAGAGAGTAAGCAAATGAGTGAGAGCGTGAGAGAGAATGAGAGAGTGAGCAAGTGAGCGAATGAGTGAGTGAGTGAGTGAACGAGTGAGTGAGCATTATTGCAAGTGAGTGGGTGGGTGAGTGAGTGATTTGAGTGACTGAGTGTGTGAAGAGTGGTTGGTTGGTTGGTTGGTTGGTTGGTTGGTTGGTTGGTTGGTTGGTTGGTCGGTCGGTCGGTCGGTCGGCTGGTTGGTTGGTTGGTTGGTTGGTTGGTTGGTTGGTTGGTTGGTTGGTTGGTTGGTTGGTTGGTTGGTTGGTTGGTTGGTTGGTTGGTTGGGTGAGTGGGTGGGTGAGTGAGTGAGTGGTTCGTTGGTTAGTTGGTTGAGTGACTGAATAAATGAATGAGTGACTGGTTGATTGAGTGAGTGAATGAGTGAGTGAATGAGTAAATGAATGAGTGAGTGAATGAGTAAATGAATGAGTGAGTGAGTGAGTGAGTGAGTGAATGGATTTAGTGACTGGTTGATTGAGGGAGTGAGTGAGGTGGCGAGCGAGCGAGTAAGTGGGTGAGTGAGTGAGTGAGTGCGTGCGTGAATGATTAAGTGCGTGCGTGAGTGAGTGAGTGAGTGCGTGAGTGAGTGAGAGTGAGTGAGTGAGTGCGTGAGTGATTAAGTGCGTGAGTGAGTGCGTGAGTGAGTGCGTGAGTGAGTGAGTGAGTGAGAGTGAGTGAGTGAGTGAGTGAGTGCGTGAGTGAGTGCGTGAGTGAGTGAGTGAGTGAGTGAGTGAGTGAGTGAGTGAGTGAGTGAGTGAGTGAGTGAGTGAGTGAGTGAGTGAGTGAGTGAGTGAGTTAGTGAGTGAGTGAGTCCCGACATGGCGGAAAATCCGTCTTATGTGTGTGTACAACATGTATATTTGAATGGCCTTGAATGAAGTTGCAACGATAGCGACATGTTCCTGCTTTTTGAGCCAAGTCGCCAGGTGTCGCTGCTGCACGCCAAGTGCGCACCGCCCCTCCCGCGCGGTGCACGCCGGTCCGGTCAGAATCCCCCAACATGGCGGCGGTGACACGAGATTTCATCACTTAGCGGCACAATTTTCGTTTCCTCTGCACGCCACAACTCCGCCATGGAGTCCTACATCAAGAAGAAGATCTTGAAGCACCTTTCCAAGTAAGTGCCGTGGCCAGATCCCCAAACCGAGCCTCCGTTCGGGCGCAATTCCGCCATTTCCCCACAGTAACTCAACGCCCTATCGGCAATGAATTAAGTGTGTTAGTCCAGGTTAATATGGGAGTGAAAGTGGTTGATAATATCTTATATTACCGACTCGTGTCAAATTTCCTGACCCCCTGCCGACTGTTCTCACTAGCAGAACACCAGCGAAACCCTTCAGCGTTTAGCCCACCCAAATCGGACTTAAATTCCTCCCCTAAAGTTGAATATCATAGATGTGAACAGGTGAATTTGAGGGGGTGTTTTTACTAGTAGTTGATTTTACCCAACACAAAACAAGGCCACTCTTCCCCAGAGGGTAAACCTGTTTGTTTTTTCTGTCATTATATTTTCTTTTTAAAAGTCCTCAACACAAGAGAAACAGGTAGGTGTTATGAGTCGGAAGAAATTGTGCGTCAGTAGTAGTAGTAGGGCCGTTCAAAAACATAACTGAGGAGAGGGGGTTGAAGAGGTCGGATTTTACATAGGGGGGTTAGTGGGTGTGGATTTTGTTGGATTTGGATTGAGGGGGGTCAAGCAAACTCCGGATTTGTAAATTTGCTCTGGAGTTTAAAAGAAGCAAGCCCTGGATTTGGATGAAATTTAATATAGGGGGTCAAGTCACTTGGGTAAAATTTTAAGGGGGCCAAGGCACTTCATTTTGGATGAAATGAAAAGGGGGTCAAGGCACCCAGATAATAATAAGGGGAGTCAGAAAGTAGCAAATCCAAGCTCTTCAACCCCCTTCCAATTTTTTTTTTCTTTTTGGAACAGCCCTGGCGTCACAGAAAATATTGCCGGTTGGTGTAATTAATTTTGTATGGGGTCAGCTGAGGCTGTGATTGGTCAGTTCTGTGACTTTGAACTCCGACGTGCAGGTCAAGCTGATGTCTGACTCGTTTGTGTTTTATTTATGTGTTGGGCTCTTTTTGTAAGCCATGTTCACTTTACATCGATGAGGGTTAGACATCCAGGTAGTACTATATGCCAAAAAACAGTTACTCAAGCACCTGGTTATGATTGTCCAAATCATGTTCATTTTATATATTATTTCTGTTTTATTTAGTCAGGGTGGCTCATCTTACAAAACATAACAAGGACATAATCCATATTCATATTAATTCCGGTGTATTCACAACAAAGAAATATATACAGATAGAGTCAAAACATTCAGCAATATATCCAAAAGTAACTTGATTGATTCACGGTTAACGATTTTGTTTTGACGCTTGGTTGTTTTGTAACTTTATGTATTGTTTAATGTGTTGGTTTCATTGTTTTCACTTGTAACTTGTTGTTACAGGGCATTCCTGAAAAGCAGTGTTTTTAAATAGCACTTCAAGGTCTCTACCCTGTTTAAATAAAACAGAAATAAATAAATAAATATCATACCTACAGACTTTAAATCATTATATCAAGCTACGTGAGAAAAAAAAATCAATGTTTTGGGGAACTGTACTGTCACTGAACATTAAAGCACTCAGCAGATATTTGGTGATTTGGAGGCCCAGTTCAACCATATTGGCAACAACAGTTTTTGTTCATTTATCAACAGATTGATTTTTTTTACCAGCCGAACTGTACATGTAACTCAATTTTCACAGAGATCTCTTGCTAATCCTAGAATATAGTAGTAGAAATTTCAAGATTGTGTTACAGGACCTAAACACAAACAAACCAATCAAACAACAGTATCTAAGATTGCCCGAGCATACTGAATGGGAAACTGGACCATATCATGTTACAGGACACACAAACAAACAAACAAACAAACAAACGTGTCCATGTTGTGTTGCAGGTTCACCAAAGGCCTGTCTGTAGATAAGATATCCCTGAGCACGCTGAAGGGGGAGGGGGAGCTGGCTAACCTGGAGCTGGATGAGATCGTGTTACAGGATGTGTTGGACCTGCCCACCTGGGTCACCATCAAGAAAGCCACCTGTAACAAGGTGGCCATCAAGGTGAGACTGTTAATGTTTGTTTACCTGTGCAGGAGGAAAATATTTGTTTATGTTTACCTTCACAGAAGGAAAACAAACTGTTTTTCTTCAGTTTCTTCTTCTTCCATTAAGAACAAATAAAGTCAATGACCTGGACCAGAAGGCTGTCACCATGGTAACTGGTGCTGTAGGACTAGGAGACACCCTGTGGTGTTGGGCTACTTATGTAGCAAGTGACAGGACAGATTTAGAGTTGGAAGGGCTGGTCATCACCATGCATATACATGGTAGTGTTGGAGTAAGAATAAACATGCAGTAGTTTGTTAGGCTAGACCATGTGAAGGTAAACATTATGCAAATATAATGGTTACCTTTCTAGTTTAGATTTACATTTAAGTTAGACTAGGGCTCGAAATCTGCGTATACATATTCAAATATTCAAATTCAGATATACAGATAAATGATAAAATTGTAACTCAAAAGAGCAGCTGTGCACTTAATTTTAAACCGTTACACCATGCACCAATATATTTGTTTAGGGTTTTTGTAATATTCTACATTTACTGTATTGTAAAACAACATAATTTGTACTTTATTTCATGTACATTGTGCACTCAAAATTTTCAGGTTAGATGCACCAGTGCGCATGTAATATTCCCAAAAATGAATTTGAAGCCGCTGGTTTTCTGCCTGTTGACTTCGCTCTCCATGATTCTGAGAACCGTTGACTCATGCATGCCAGGTCGGCGACTCATGCGTGAGGTCGATTCGTGACCCTGAGAATCTAATGAGGTAAAACTCAGGGTGGGCCGAGGAAAAAAGTGTTGTGTTTCCTGTTTTGCTAGAAAAACCTTCCGACCCTAGCCTTTTTTTGGAAGGACCCCTGCAAGGGACATAGATTTTTCGAACTGATCGACCTTTTGAGCTCCATGATCTGACATCTGAGTGATGAAACATTGTATAATTGATTTTTCAACATTCGCATTGAAAATAGAAGCATCCTCATGCAAGTTTTACTTTGTTAGACTGTGTTGTATACATGTAGCTATAACATATATCTCTACCTACCAACCCTAATTTTTTTTATGTTTACCGAAGGAAAACATATTGTTTTTTCTACATTTCTTCTTCTGTTCCAAACACTAACCTGACCTATCCAATGGCCTGATTTGGTGACGTCTGTCACCATGGTAACTGGTGTTGGGTTACATAATATTGCAATTTTACTGGAGGGATTTAGACTCCTGTCTGACCATATATATATGAATGTGCATGTATTTGAATAAGAAGAGCAAACCATATGCGAAGGTTAACATTATGCATTTGCTTTGCAAATGTTACCTTTCTAGTTACCTCCGGGGGAGGAGACATCCTTCCGTGGAAGGGTTTTGTGAGAGATTTAGATTTTCATGTTCGCAGCTGTTTCTCGCGTTTGGGTCGACGGATTCTTTTGAGACTCGGTACATGTTTTGCTATTGGGCTGCAGATGATGCACGTTCTTTTGTTTTTATTGTATATGTGTTTTAGGGCGTGAAAATGGTACCTTTTGGTGGCCCCAAAACACCCCTTTTAACGTGAAAGTGGTCGCGACCATTGACCTTTGGCGTGTTTAAGCTATTCTCGGTCTGGTCCACGTATATGACCCCTCACACAGAGGGGTGTCTGGTCTCGATAATTTTTTTTTTTTAAATCCTATATAAAAATATACAATAAAAAGCCCGGAGGTATAAAATCTCAGATTTTACTTGTTTAGTACTAAAACAGGAAACATTTTTTCCTAGGCCTTGCATGTATAATGACTCACTCATGTTCACATAATTTTGAGTTACTCTGTGAGAGTATTGTGAAGGGCAAGCCAGTGCATTATCTGGGTTCTCTGATTTTTTTTGGCAGAAAATTAATTGAATGGGTTGGGTAAACTAAAGAGTCATGAGAATAACGTACTAGGCGTTCTGTGATTTTAGATTGCCAATCTTCCACTGTGCTGTGTAGGAATTTTTAATGTAGAAATTAGAAAATAACAATGATGAATTGAATGGAAAATACATACAGAATACAATCACAGTAATTTACAACAAGAAGCACTTAACATGTCATACAGGTATGAGGTCACCGAACTCTAGTTATTGATGATAACTAATGAGAAATCGTTCATAGATAAACCCACTCAGCCAGTTTGCCTCAACTGCTGGACTATGTTTTTGTTTGATGTAAATTGTTCCATGTGCCACCCTCCCCACATGCATTCACCACAGAACTGAAGATGCTTGCAGCATTTGACAAACATCTCGACTTGGAAACCATTTATGTCTCAGTCGTGTTGTAAGGCGACCCTCTTCAAAGTGACCACCTGTCCAAGGTGACCACTTTTCTTTGGTCCCCTGGGCTTGGTGGCCGGCTTGGACAGGTTTCACTGTATTAGTATTAGGTTTCAAGGTTTGCCCTTAAAATGATTGTATAGATTATTCTCTTTAGCAACACATAATCTTTGTGTGATGAATTTGTGATGGAGAGGTCACCGCAAATATAAAACCAGTCTGCAAAGGTATTACTTTCAGGATTTACAGTAATTCCAAAAAAAGTCTACAATATTGTGTGGCAGAGCATTTGGCTCAGAACCAAGAGATCCTGGGTTCAAATCCAAAATCCAAATTTGTGCCCTTAATGGAAAGGCACTTTACATGACTTTCCTCAATTTTCTCAGGTGTTAATGAGTATACCAGAATAATCATTATCATGATCTTGATTGTGGGCATTAAAAGAAAACTAAACCAAAGAAAACCAAGCCAAGTAACATGTTTTCAGACACTGACTTAATTCAAGCCTGTACTTCTCTCTCTCTCCCTGTTTGAATTCCCATGTATGCATGTTGAGCTGTGCAGTACATGTACATGTAGTTATTAAACCCTGTATAACTGGAGATTGATCGTAGGTCAAGTGTATATTTTCTGACACTGACTGAATTGAAGCCTGTACTTCTCTTTTTAAATTCCCATGCATGTTGAGCTGTGCAGGACATGTACATGTACATGTAGTTATTAAACCCTGTTCTATATGACCAGAGATCGATCGTAGGTCAAGCATACAGCTGCATACTAAGTGGCCTGTAGGCTAGCAGTGCAGGGCATTGGTCATCTTGTAAACATTAATACTGTTTTGTTTACACTTAGTCTAACAAACTTAAAGGTTAATGGTTCAAATCCCACGCCAGTCAGTTCAGACCTGTCTGTGACTTTCTCACAAGGCTTTAAGTGAAATTTTGATATTTGTTCTCTTTGAGATTCATTAATGATGTCTAATTTTTTTTCAGTTGTAACTGGCAAAATTACCATTGTTGATATTTTTCTGCAGCCTCATTTTTTTTTGGGGGGGGGATGGTTATTGGTTTAGGTAGTTATTATTATTAACTGCTACACATCTCAAGTATTACTATAAAACAGAACCCAACAGATTTTCTACAGGAATTACAAAATGGCAATAAACGTTCTGGTGACAGTTCCAGTCGACAGTTCCAATGTATTGGTCTTGTATTTGCAGCTTGTACTAATTACCAGGAATTGTGCAGTGTAAGAGAAGTGTGGTTTGACATGTGGCTGGTGGTGCTTGAACGTGAACTTGTACTTCATCAGGTTGGGTTAGTCACACTCAGTGGCATGTAGTGTTCTACAGCACTGCTCTTTCCACCCTCGTGTTCACGTGCGCACATGGGTCTGAACAAACGTACAATTTCCTACATGAGCTACAAACTACGCCAACACACAACAAACAAGTATCAGTAATGGCGTGGGGTTGCGTTGCACAACGGCAGAGTCCTTGGCTTGAAACCAAGAGGTCCCAGGTTCAAGTCCTGACATGCCGCCGATCTTGTGCCCTTGGGAAAGGCACTTTACACGACTTTCACTTAACTCAAGTGAAAATGAGTACTAGTATTGTCCTGTATTAGTTTCTATGTGTGGGACACAACACCAGCAACGTCGCATATCCAGAGGACCCTTTCCATGATCCATTAGTTTGCAAATCAGGTGAAAATGAGTACCTAGCTTCGGTTAGGGGCGTCTTATCGGATGGGAAGTTAAAATGGAGGTCCCGTGTTTGAGGAGGGACACACCTCAAGCACGTTAAAGAACCCACGTGAGCGGAAGTGGAACAAACCATTATGGTCTAAAAAGGGGTAGGGAATTTTCCCGACCAGCCTTGTAACCCCTGCTTCTCCTATTGGGTCAGTAACTGTTAGTCCTCACTAATTGTGAGAAATTGGGCTGGTCTCAATCACGATGTTTCTGACTCAGGGAGAAGAGTTGCTGTTACAGTTCTATACCTGTAGCTCTATGCCTAGAAGTGGCCAAAAATGGCCTTGCATTGAGCGACACCGTTTAAAAAAAAAGAACATGACCAGTAACTGGTACAGGTGGGCTGGGGTTGAACCTCGTGACTTGTAACCAGAGTTTACTGCTACCAATGGATCCATGGCACGGTACTGGGGATGCACTTCAGGTTCTGAACAAGCTCAAGTTTGTCACGTTCTAAGTCATGTAGTGCTTTTTACCCTTGCTCTTCTTGAGTCTGGAGTCCCACTCATGTGTACAAGGTCGTAACAAGGTCGTACAAGGTCAGCACGTGACCTTGAAGAGTAGCTGGAGAGGAACGTGGGTTGTTGCACGATACTTGCTGCTGTACGTGTGTGAAGAGTCTCTCATGGTCCAAACTGAAGTGTTTTGTGTAATCCAGCATTTCTACATGCAGTTTCACTTAATCGTGCAGAAAGAATTTCAAATTAATAGTACTTAATGGCTTATAATTCTTATGTTTACCGAAGGAAAACATATTGTTTTTGCTCTGTTTCTTCTTCTTCAGTGACCTGAACCAGACTGTCTCACACCATGGTAACTCAGTGTTGGGTCACATAATGTTGCAATTTTATAGTAGGAGGAATTTAGACTCCTGTTACCATGTGTGTGAATGTGTTTGAGTAAGAATTAACAGAGCAGACCATATGCAACGGTAAACATAATGCAAACGTTACCTCAATCCGTAGTTTACTAAATATTTATTTACTTCAATGTTTGCTTTCCTGACAGAAAGGGTAAATGTTCAGTGATAAACACCTTATGAAGATATGTTTGGACAGTTTTAAGTGCAGCAGTGTAGAGTTTGCATTTCTAAGCCACGTCTGTGGAAAATCAATTGAACCAGTGTGCTCAGTCTGCCATGTGGGATTAAATGAGCATTAAGCATTGAACAAATATCTAACTTGGTGATGGCCATGGACTGAAAGTAGTAAGTAAGAATCTGACTAGATGTGAGTTATTTTAGTTGTTTCACAAAACCGGTAAACTGGTTTTTAAAGGCATAACGCACCAATTTTGTACTGTAAGACTGGATTGTAAGGTTTGATATACTCACTCGGGAAGGACCCAAGCAATTTTCACATGCCTTCAAGTACCAGAGTTATCAGTCAAGGATTGAGGTGTTCAAGAATTCATTCTTTCCTAGAACTATTGCAGATTTGGGATTAGTGACTAATCATTACACACTCAATAAACCCAGTAATGCCCCACATGGGCACTTCTCTCCACATGTTCAGACCTGTCCTTGGTGCTGAAATCATGGTTGCCATGCCTTCACTTGGAACTAGGAAAAATACAGCATCTAGTATGACCTACATCTACATACCTAACCAGCAATTCTTAAAGCTTATAAGCATTTCTCTCCACAAGTACCTGTCCTTGGTGCTGAAATCATGGCTGCCATGCCTTCACTTGAAAGTGGGAAAAATACATCATCTGCATACATAACTAGTTATTCTAAAAGCTTAGAACCATTTTTTCCACAAGTACCTGTCCTTGGTGCTGAAATCATGGCTGCCATGCCTTCACTAGGAACTGGGAAATATACAACATCTACACACCTAACTAGTTATTCTAAAAGCTTACAAAAACTAGCAGAGGAAGTGTTTTTAATAGAATTTCTCCATTTACAGCATATACATACTGAAATGTTACAGGTTAGCCGTTTATTACATGGCTTTGGGGGATCAGTGACTAATAATGACACACTCAATAACCTCAGTAATGTCCCACAGAAGCATTTCTCTCCACATGTTCAGACCTGTCCTTGGTGCTGAAGGCATGGCTGCCATGCCTTCAATTGGAACTGGGGAAAATGCAGCATCTAGTATGATCTACATATACATACCTAACCAGCAATTCTTAAAGCTTAGAAGCATTTCTCTCCACAAGTACCTGTCCTTGGTACTGAAATCATGGCTGCCATGCCTTCACTTGAAACTGGGAAAATACAACATCTACATACCGAACTAGTTATTCTAAAAGCTTACAAAAACTAGCAGAGGAAGTGTTTTTTATATTTCTCCATTTACAGCATATACATACTGAAATGTTACAGGTTAGCCGTTTATTACATGGCTTTGGGGGATCAGTGACTAATAATGACACACTCAATAACCTCAGTAATGTCCCACAGGAGTATTTCTCTCCACATGTCCATACCTGTCCTTGGTGCTGAAATCATGGTTGCCATGCCTTCACTTAGAACTGGGAAAAATATAACTTACATCAGTATGATCTACATACCTAACCAACAACTCTAAAAGCTTAGAAGCATTTCTCTCCACATGTCCATACCTGTCCTTGGTGCTGAAAACATGGTTGCCATGCTTTCACTTGAAACTGGGAAAAATTCATCCTTAACACACCTAACTAGCAGTTCTAAAAGCTTACAAAACCTGACAGAGGAAGCTTTTTGTAAATAAAGTTTCAAGATTTTAAGGCATATAAATACTTGTTCTTGTGTTAGTAGCATTTGGTGCAGGTTTACATGTATGAGAGGTCTACCAATATGATAGAGCTACAGTAAAATGTCTAGAATTGTCTTTTTTCCTTTTTGTGTTCCAGTGATCAGTTATTTGGTTCCTCTAGTCTCACAGTTTGTTCCTCTTGACCATAGATCCAGTGGACCAAGCTGAAGACCCACCCGATATGTCTGTACATGGACCAGATCGACATTGAGATGGAAACATGTGACGAACCCAGGGCACCAAACAACCCCTCACCTTTCATGAGCCAGGGGTAAGTACAGCTAACCCAGGTGACCTAACAACTAACCCATAGCACCCACACTGTCATGAAATGGGTTAGTTAGTAAAGCTAACCCAGGACACCCAACCACTCAAGGCCACTCATAACCATTCAAGAACCATGCAGGGTTACAGTAGTTTATTTAGTAGTTAGTTGTTACTTCACTTGAAATTCCTTTAGTTCTTTTGATATTATGTTCTTTTTCTTTCTTCCTGTTGTTTTCTGTCTTTTTCTGTCCTTTGTTTCATGATTGTGTTTTCTGTTTCTCTGTGTTTCTGTGTTCTGATGTGTCCACAGTCCCACTTCAGTATCTCTGTCCAAAGACCCCGTCAAGCACCTTTCTGAGAGGAGGTATCAGTAGTTATATTCTGTCTCATTGGGAAACTTTGTGCTCATGGTTTTCAAAGCGTGGGTGTCCGTTTTATCGAAGAACGTACAGCAGAAACTTTAGTCTTTGTAAATTATATTGACTGCAACCGTGCTTGAAAAGAAAGACTACCAGAAGCAAATGTGTATTTCCCAGAAAAAAACATAAGTTGGAGCAAGTTACTGAGTTTTGGCCCTTTGAGTTGAATTGAGTTGTATTATTACTAGTTTGATGTGTAAGGAAGGAACTCTTGTTATCTTTACTGAAGGAAACACATTGTTTTTGCTTTGTTTCTTCTTCTCCAAACAAATAAGGGCAATGGCCTGAACCAGACGTCTGGCACCATGGTAACTGGTGTAAGGGTATATCATGTTGCAATTTTATAGCAGGAGGGATTTAGAGTCCTGTCACCATTAATACATTGTATATGAATGTGTCTGAGTAAGAATTAACAGAACAGACCATATGTGAAGGTAAACATTATGCATTTGCCTTGCCTTTGTGGTTCATTAAAATTTTGTTTATTTGTTTGTTTGTTTGTTCCAGAGGTGACACGAAGTACGGTTTTGCAGAGAAGGTGGTGGACGGGATGTCTCTAACGATCAACTCTGTCACCATCCGATTTATCTCTCACGCCTTCCACGCTTCCTTCCAGGTAAAATGTTCAGTTTTCAGCTTTTATTTTACTAATCTCCAGTACCAAAAGAAAACAAATTGGTGCAGCATTGATCAGGAATTTTGACTCATTTGGTTCCAAAGCAGATTATGATTTTACCACCATCATTTTCCAGTCATGCTCTATTTGTAAAGCAATAAGAGGTCCAACCCACTACTGGTGTGTAGTGGCAATCGAAAACCCATCAAACTTTATACTAGATGCGTTAGATATACATGTGTGGCAGGTCTGTGACTGCTCATTGGAGTAACTGCACATTGGAGACATTCAGTAGTGGGTTTGCTGTACAAGCTTCAGCTGTCTTGTCACAAAAATGATTATCATTATTGGATATTTGTGGACTGTTGGGTCAGTCATTATATAGCTTGCTGGAAATCTGATCGTTTAGCAAAAAATAAAACTATGTGTGCATATTTCCATAATTTTTATCCTCCCATAACTCAATCATCATTTGCTTACTAAGATCTGACACCTTCAACAGGAACTCTTTCTTCCGAAACACGATTTTCTATGCATCTATATTTTGCTAATCTGATCGCAAAAAATTAAGCTATGGCTGCATTCAAAGAACGGTGAAATTTTTCCTTTACAGTGAAATGCCTATGGGCAACCTAACTCCAGAGGCGAATTGTTCAAACATATTTCCAATGTTATTTCAATCTGCTTCGTGAGAGGGAAAGATTTTATGTGGTTGAGAACTAACGACCCAGACCCAATAAAAACCTAATTGGTGTGTCCTGACCAACTGTTCTGTACAGCGGGTTAGCAGAACTACTGGGGGAGAAGTAAAGTTATTCACTGAGCAGCAGGACTCAGTAAAGAGACTCTTTTTACACAACCAAGTGTTTTATTCACAGCCGACGTTTCGGTGACCGTCTGTCACCTTCCTCAGGGCAATTCTGACTGGTTCACATTGCACTGCAGCACAGGTGTCACTGCTGTAGACACTTGATTGTTTAAAAAGAGTATCTTTACTCTGACCTGATGAAACTATTCACGGATGTGAGCGTCAGCTTCAGGACTGCTTCAAAACAACATCGTTAGCAAGCAGCATTACTTTGAACAGCTCCATTTCATTAATTACCATATGGCTGGTTTTTTTTTTCAACAATTTGCTTGGTGCAAAGCCAAGAGATTATTTCTAGGCTAGTTTTGGTTACTGGAACAGAGAAGTAAGATATTCGCTAAGCATCAGGACTTCACAACGACATCATTAGCAAGCAGCATTACTTTGAGGAAGTCTTAGAGCATTACGTTGAGCAGCTCTAATGTATTAGTTACCTTTTGGCTGTTTTTTTTTCTTTAACGATTTGCTTGGTGCAAAGCCAAGAGACCATTTCCTTTGGAACAGCAACTCTTTCGTCTAAGTCAAATTAAAAACAGCAATGCTGAAGACAAGCCCGACACACTAATAGTGTGTAACTGTAACTGTAATAGTTAAGCATTATTTTTAATTAGATTCTCTCATTTAGAATTTTGTTTGAAAAAGAAAAAAGAAACATTCCAAATCATTCATAAAAGCTGATTTCAGTTGTCTTTTTGAATCTTCAGGTTTGGAGTTATTGTTATTTACTGTTGTTTAGAGTTAAAACTTTAGGTCCAACACAATAAAGTTCTCTCACCTAGAGCTTTCAACCAGTCACTCTGGTCTTCCTCAGTAGACTGACCCTGTGAGGCTTGTCACATGGCTTCTTTGAAGTGTGACTTCAACATTGGGTCAAAGGTATCTGGTAAACGATGTTGGCCCCCATTGCAGTTATTTACTGTTTGTTTGTTTGTTTGTTGTTCCCAGCTGTCGAGAATACGAGCCCGCAGTACCACTCCGCAGTGGAAGGCGGCCGACCTTCGTATGACCCGGATCAAGGACACGGAGAGAGGGATGGTGCTCACGTTCAAGGTCAGCGCACGGAAAATTCCTGGATTGTTTTTGAGCTAAAAGTTCAAACTTGCATTTTGTCCATCATTCAGTCATTTAATTGTTGTTTCGAAGCTTATTTAAGAAAGTGGCTTCAAGTTGTATTAATTATTTTATTTTGATGATTATCAATCAGTTCCATCCACAATATAATGGCCCCATCGGTCAATATATTGACCATGTGTTACATGTAAGTCCATATTTGTATCAGACTTTCAGCATTGGCTTATGATGATGGCTTAATAGTGTTTCATCCTACGATAGTTTGTGGGAAAAGCAGATTTTTGGTCCCATTGATTCTGAGTTTATAATTGTAGTGATATTTCCGTGAATAGTTTCATCAGGTTGGTAAGTCACTGAGTTAACAAAATCTCTTTACACAACCAAGTCTTTTATTCAGCCGATGTTTCGGTGACCGTCTGTCACCTTCCTCAGGGCAATTCTGACTGGTTCACATAGCATTGCAGCACAGGTGTCTCTGCTATAGATGCATTCCCAAACAAACTAGAGTTCCCCGATCTCACACCTTCGCCAAATGATGTTAATCTTTATGACTGACAAAGTTTAGATTAGATTATTCCCCCCTGATTTAAGAAATAGGAACCTAATTTTCATGAATTATATCATTTTATCATAATCTCAACCAAAAGACAGTCTTATATTAACAAAGAATGCATTCTAGCATTTCCTAATAAATTATGCAAATGAGGTCCTGATTTGAATAAATTATGTTTAATGATGTTCACCTCAATTTAACTTTCAAATACCACATGTATGAAATTCCAGGCAGTTATCATTACATAATTGTAAAATTTTCTCATTAATTATGCAAATTAAGTCATTATTAGCATAATCAACATCTTCCTGTGTTTCTCTCGTTGTCAATTACCAATGTCACAAGCTTCAATTGTCCTATCATGGAATGCAGCTGATTTATAGAATTTCCCCATAAATT